CCGACGTCACAGCCACGCAGGGGCAGCCTGGGGCTGCAATGGCTCCGTCCAGTCCTGGGGCACCGCAGGGCCGTCCCGTAGACATGGGAGGAAAAGGCGGGGAGGAGGGTGGACTGACCTCGCAGCTTCTAGGCCCCTCATTCTAAGAGGGACATTTTGGGACTAAAAAGAATTCCAGCTAGAACCTGCCTGAAAACTAGACCCTGCACACACCAGGTCGGATCTCATTCTACAGACTGCCGATTATGTTCCAGTAAGTACCACAGGCTAACTCCCCTCCTAGCCAAGAACACACCATGCCCACCCTCTGGGCAACTGGCTCTCCAGACCCATCGTGGACAGGGGAAGAGGCAGAGGGGTGCCAGGTTACAGGAACAGTACTTCGGTGCTAGCTCTGTAAAGGAAGCTGCCCACCACCAATCCTTACCCCTTCTCCAAAGGGAGCAGGCCATAAAGCAGAAGCAGTGAGCTTAATTGAATTCATGTTTAATAATTACAGGCACCGTGCCCCCCCTTCCCCCTGCCCAGGCAGCAGCAGGGGTGGTGCAGGGGCTGGGGCATATGCCCCCAGCAGCGAGGACGGCAGTCCCAAGAGTGATTTTTCAGAAAATAAAAAAGGACCTCAGGGGCAGGCCTTAGTACCCCCCCCAAGACACACCAAATTTCAAGACTTTATATATAATATATCTCTGTGCCCCTGAGGAAGGAGGGACACCTGGCAGCATCCTGGAGGCGGCCCCAGGCAGCCCCAAGCCATCCTGCCTCTTCAGCCACTTTATTAGCTCAGACACATCGCACTACAGGCACCTGCTGCCACCGCCGCCGCTGCCGCCCCCTGCAGTCCAGGCGGCTGGCCAGGCCATTGGCGTCCATGGGGCTCACGTCCCCAGCCCCACCCGCCCTCAGTTGTGGTCAGACTCCTCCTCCTCAGCCTCCCGAAGCCAGTTGAAGAAGGCTGTGACAGATTTGAGGGCCACGCCCTTGCCCAACTGCTCAGCAGGGTCCTTGCTGCTCTCCCAGCTGTAGAACGCTTCCTCCTTCACGACGTCCTCGTCATACAGCGTATCGAAGAATATTCGAAGCAGGTCTGCAAACCATCAGGAAGCAGTTAGAGGAAAATGGCCACACAGAGCCACACCAGACAGCCCCCAGGGACCACTGTTAAAACAGGGCACTGACATCTACGCTCGCCATTCCAGGGGAACTAGGCCTCTGAAAGGATGCTAAATCTCAGGATCCAAGAGACCACTACACAGGCACAAGTCACTTGGCCATCAAAAAATCTTTAAAAACTCACCACACTCACCTTGGCAGCTTCAAACTTCTCCACACAAATCAATAGGAATTAATTTGGGGACTCACAAAAATCGCAGCCGTGTGGCTCACAAACGTGGAGTGTATAACCTGGAAAATCCCCTGACCCCAAACATTTAAATTGTGGACCCCTTCCACTTCCTCCCTATACATCTGAACCCTCCCTTCCCCAGCCTTTGATATGTGGGAAGGTGCCAGGAACAGCCCCCTTCTTTGGTCACCTTCCCGGGCAATCCTGACTTACCTGTCCCCCTCTACCTGTGGCTGCCATAGCACTTGTCCTAGAATCCCAAACACCTCTCCCATCCCCACAGTGCACTGCCAG